TTCTGTTGATTAAGTTGTAAAATCAAAATGCAGTAGGTCAAAATGGCTCCAATGGATGAAAATATCATACTGGGTTCGATTCGTGACATCCCACAAATCGTCAAATAAACAGGCTGAATGTTCTCTAATAACTGAAGGAAACTAACACGTTTCTGAAAATCACATATCTCGATTTGATTCGCCAAATGCATTTTTCTCGCCAGTTTTTGATATTTTCTTCCAGCATTCTCGATCGCTCTAGGTATTGCAGAAGAAAATGTCACAATACTGACAACAGCAAACAAAGTAGATATAAGAGTAAAAATTGATTCCATAACACGGCTTTCGTCAGTTATTATTGCAAGTTTCATTATGAGAATTCCTATTCCGGAATAGACATTGGCGAAACAAGACGCCAATATCAAAAACAGCATACCTCTAGATGACTCTTCGAATATTTCACAACAATCAACAACTGCAAGATAATTTTGAGCTTCGTGATAAAAATTCGCCAAACCAAAGCTATCTATAACATTTTTGCTCTGCATTTCGATAGCTTGAGCTAACGTGTTAGCAAAGTAGGAAACGACAACTACAGATAGAAAAGTAATTAAAAATTTCGATGCGTAATAAACATTCATTGAACCTAAGGCTGCAATTCTTCTTAGGATTGGATATTCTTCTAAACTGTAACCACTGAGCCAAAACTGCAAACGACATTCATTACGCCAATCTGTGTAACAAATTAAAACAGAGAGTAGCGTCGGGTAAAATAAAACTGATAAAACTGCGATTTTGAGCATTCTGTCTTCTTTTCTGGTTTTGGCATTTGTTATTGATTGCACTTTTGCAAATGATTGTAGAAACAGTGCAAATTCCTTTGATATCAAGTTCATATGATGCCACAGAATAGTAGTCAATACAAAACCTAAAACAACAACTAAAGTTTGCTTCAAAAAAATATAATCACTTTTTCTTGATAATAGAAGTATAGAATAAATGGCAGAACAATGAATTAATACACTTATTGGATGGAAATACTCTCTTAACTTTTTAAATTTAGTTTTATTTTGAAAAACTTTGTTTTGAATACCAATGACTTTCAAGGTAAAATATATCCATCTGTTTTCATTCATTGGTAAATTCTTTTATAATTATTTTACTTCACTAAAAATTGTAAAATTTTCTTGAAACGAAATTAGAACTTAAGAATTTAATGTATTGTCGTATTTAGAAAATAAGAGTTGAAAGCCATTGATTTACAAGATAAAAAAACATCCACCACTTTAATATATAAGTTATACCTTTTATATTCGTTTCGCATTCACTCAATCTTAAAATCCTCATATAAATAAACTCAGAATTTCAGAGAAAATTAAAAGAAATTTTGTAAATACATTTCTCTGATGTTGATTAGATTGCTATAAAATCAATCATAAATATAGACTCTGACTACTTTTCACTAACAGGGTCATAAAAAGGGATATTTTTTGCAAATATAAAATGATATTAATGTCCAATACAATTTTAACATTTATTTTTTGATAAATGAATATTAAAAAAGTTCTAACTTCAATCAAATTGTTAACCAAATAAAAGTATATACTTACAGATCAAAATTTATTTTATATACTTACTGATTATTAAGAGTTTTTTTTAATCAATAAAAACTCATTTCAAGTTTTTGATTAATGTTATTGTTGCTTTTTCTAACTTCTATTTTCAACAATAAAAATCAACAAAACACTCTAAATTGAATAGTGTATCATATATACAAAAAATGATGTATTACATTATTACGAACCAATTCATCAGGTTGCTATGAAAACAACTTTTGTTTAGTATTATAATTAGAAATTATACTACGATGCACTAGTTTATAAGCTAATAATAATTTTTTTCTAGATTTTTTTCCGGAGAAAAACATCAATTTAATTAAAACTATAACAGCGTTTCAATTATTCGTTTATATAATTTCGATTTCTTACTTAAAAAATATTTTTCGCGTTATTTGAATTTTTGTGCTAATTGCTTTTAAATTTTAGCGATAAATTCGTAATTAAGAATTATTTAAACATTTTTTAGATTAAGTAACTGAAAAATACTTATTTCGTTTATTAATTATTTTTGTTTTGCTTATTCATATTTAACGGTTGGGAAATTTAGATCACGTTAAAGCATCTTATTTAATTTCGCTTCAGCAATAATAAAGTTTCAAATTTAACCATATTAACCAGTAAATTAATCATTCTCAAATTTCGTTTAATGGTAGTATGGTGCAACTTGCTTGTTAAAGTTGCACAGAATTTAAACCCAATGGTTCTAGGTATTGATCACAATGTTTGAGCTGATTCTTTTGTACCGATATTATGGTTTAACGTTTAAACCGGTTTTTTTTTTGTACTGAAACTATCGTAAACATTCAAACTGATTCTTTTGACTAATGGCTCTCTGAGATTCATAACTCCAGTTTTACTGAACGAACGGATATTTGTTATTAAGAATTATCAGGAAGGGAGACTCGCCTCGCGTTTGATCACGATTTTGAAAGTGTTAATGTAAAGCAAATTTAGTTAATATTAACCTTTTGAGTAATATAAATCAAATTTTAACTATCTTTGTATTCTTCTATAATTTTTTTTATTGAAAATAAGTGGCAGATACTACTTGTATTTAGATATCTTTGTTAGCAAAAATTTACATGAAGGTTATTTAATTTAAATTAATTAAAAAAAATCAAAAAACTATTTTAAATAAGGGGACAGCTTATTTTGGAAAGCCAATATCCTTTATTAGGCAGTTAAAAAAGCTCATTTATCATAGCTGCTAAAGTCTTGCAATAGTTGAATGCGTGTTATTGCCGTTAATCATGACTTAAAATATTTTTCTCCTATACATTTTGAAAAATAAAACAGTCTTTTCAGAAATGGATGTTACTTATTGTAAAAGTAATTTCTGAAAATGTAAATCATTTAGAAATTTTCAGTAATAAAAGCTTGTCTGGTAGCTGTATAGACTGCATGTCTGTGTTTACACATAACAGTAATGGCTACAAGTGATTTAGTTTACTGGCGGCTTTAATTGGCATTAATATTTATGTTTAATTAGTAACAATAATTGCGCCGACGAGCAGATTTATATGAACTGTTCTGCCTTTTCTTCGAAATTAGCTAGCTGCATTTTATGTAATTTTTGTTTTTTTAGCATTTTTTCAAAAAAAAAAAATTTTTTTTTTCGGTTTGTCTTGATTGTATTTAAAACAATTGTTCGCATTTGTTTTAAGTTAAAATCGTACTAAAACTTAATATCGTTTCCAAGACAACATCTTTCATTGTTAACTTTTAAAAACTGTAACAAAACTTGATTTACTTTTAATAAAACGTAAAACATAATTAACTGAATATTTATTATCCATACATAGATTTTTCTAACACAGCGACTAAGAAATTCCTCATTTCTTTTTGGCGTCGGAAACAAAGAAATGAAATATCAAGCCCGAGCGTTGTCAAAAGTATGAAAGTGTAAACCTACAAGTTTCAAATTTTTGAATGAAATTTCTCGCGTGTGTAACGAAAAGCTGAAACAAACTGAGCTATAAGCTGGGAAGATTCGAAAGGTTAAAAACGTTTAGTTCATGTCATCCAACAAAGTATTCTATATTGTGTTTAAAGTATACTTATGTAGGTTCAACAATAGTTTTATTCATTGTTATTTTTTGAAACATGAGTATTAGTCGTGTTGTTACGCTTAAATATAATCAAAGAAACAAAACATGAAAAAAAGTGCTTGAATAGCAGAAGAAAGCGTTGATGACAGTTTTGGACGACGTAATATTGAAAGAAAGAATAGGATACGTGACGTCATACATCTTGTTTTGTTTAATACATAATTATTCTTTTGCAAGTTTTTCTATTTTGTTTCTACAACTTTTTCTATTGCAAGCCATTTATTTCAATTATTAAACTGTACGCTGGAACACATTTGAATGGGTCTAAAACTTATAGCGAACGAAGAAAACATGGTTTGCAAAGTAAACCATATAAGATTGCAGCAATCTTCGGGGATTGGAAACCGCCAGCTAACAGGGGGCAGTGCCCATTAATTTAAGCTTAAAAATATAAACAAAAGCAATCACATTTTCCTCTTTCTTAACACATTGAATGCCACGCTAATATTACATGGCTTGCTCGTCTGGCCAAACGGTAAATAATTACAAACTAAATTTGCAAATATTAAACAGATTTTGCCAAATTTTCAAAAGGTTTAGCATGACATATCTGAAAAAAGTGGAGAATTATGTAAGCCTACGAACTGTTTAGAAATAGTGACGGATAAAAACCTACTAAATTGAATCTATTAGACCAAGAATCAAAATTAATAAACTACCACTTAAAAATATTTATTTGGTGTCCGGAGCAAGTTCGCATCTCTGTGTATATAAATAAAACAATTTTTGTGTGTTCTATATTGCATTAATTTCTTCAAACCATTTTAGTAATGATAATAATATAAAAAAGATTAAAAATTTACTCGAATTATGTGTTTCTAATAATCTTGGCTTCGCCGGTCACCGGTGACCCCCGTGGTGCTACGAACAAACTCAGTGACGGTCACCGGTGACCCCCATGGCATTCAACGTGTTAAATTCTTAGATAAATGTGTGTTATTAATAATTTAACTAAAAACAATATCCAAAATAAAATGAAATATAATTAAAAATAAAATGAAATAAATAAAAGAATTAACCTTCTAGTCACATCTTGATTTTAAAATTTTTTAATTAATTATATTTTAATTAATTTAACTAGTATTTTCAGTTTCATGACATATTTTATACATTATTTTATTCTCTCCGAATTTCTCTTCCACTCCTCTACCTACGCCTTGATGTCTGACCGTTAGCATCTAGTTCATATATGACCGTTAGCTCTCCAGTGGCCATTTAAGTAAAACTATTTTCCATTTAAATAAAACCCTGACTTTTCAAAAGCAAGTCATTATGAACAACAGATGTTTGTCAGTCATTATGAACAACAGATCTTTAATTTGTTCTTAAAAGGAGAATTCCTGGAATAAGTACATTTTTTTAAAACAAGTATATAAGCAAGATATTATCACATAAAAAATGTCTTTACATTTAAGTCCCATTTATTACCAAAAACATGGTTACGTTTTGTTTAGAGTCAAAATCCTTCACTCATTCTTCAATTTTGATTGGATGTATCGGTAAATCATCGTCACTAATACAAGTGTTTCTTCCCAAAAGTCCCATTTGTCCTCTGAAGAGTACTTCGGAAATTAACCTTTCAGAAAGTGTCTGCATGCTTGGGTCCATTGTCCGTAAACGTGAGGCAACATATCGACCAAACATTTCGTGTCCATCTAACTTATCGGCTGATTGCTGAAGTGTTCGCTGTAAATGTCTTTTATCTTCGCTCTTATAAACATTACGTCGTCTTTTAGGTGGTGGAGGATTGTCATAACTCATGATTTGGCGCATATTTCCGTTTGTCATCGCATTTTTGGAACTTCCTTCGGGACTGGAAACCTGGAACTGGAAGAAAAGAAAAGGTTAAATTTAGAAAGAAAGAACTTCATTATAGTTTAAAAATAATACATTATTTTGCCGTGATTTTTAAAGAGTGAAAGAATCTGGTTTAAATTTAAAGATATAGCAGACTACTTCGTGTCTTGAAACCAGTGGTTGGAAAAATACATTATTTTTGTAGTTTATTACAACAACTATTTTGTTACAAATGTAACTAACTACTTTTTTTAAATGCAATGATTACGAACTACTTTGGAATTGTAAAAACTACTTCACTTACATTAAATGTAAGGGAACTTAAATGTAAAAGAACTTACATTAAATGTAAGGGAATAATTAAGAATTATTTATTCATGTTTGCATGGGACAGTTTTTTATTCCAAAACTATTTGTTCCGAATTGATCTTCAACTTTTTCTTATTTCCTAGTAGGAGAATGTTAATTTATGAAATGCGAAACTATTAAATACTTGAATTTTTTTTAATTGTTTTATGCTTTTTTATTTTCCTTTCAGAAATTAAGTACACTGAAAATACTTTCCCTTCCTTTTAAACAACATCAATGTTTCACGCGTGCATATTCACATGTGAAAGTGTGTTCAAAGTGATTAATTATCTATTTTTCGTAAAATTCGAAACTTTAGTTATGTTAGAGCCGTCTTTCTTTGCTAAACTATCGTTAAAATTAGTTTCCAGGAATAGCGACAAACTACTGTTTTTTTTTGTATCTCACTACTTTTTTTAAGAAAGTAGCTCACTACGTTACAAACTAAGAAAAATAAAGTTACAACTTCAGTAGTTTCACTGCTTGAAGTGCGTTACTTTTGACCGCTGCTTGAAACTAAGTAAGTGTTATATCAAGTTTGCTTATTAAGTCCAAAAGAAACCTGCTTTTACTTCTAACAAGAAATCTGCATGAAGCTGGACGACTTGTATAATATTATGAATTCCCATCAGATTTTGATACTTAAGTTACATACCAAATAAAGAACAATAAAATCTTATAATAACTGGCCCACTACAAAGTTGCAATTTTAATCACAAATGCGTGGAATACAAATGAGATAATGACATAAGAAAATGGCAAATATTTTCCATATCCACAAACACAATTACATTCTTTCAACATAAAAACCAACCAAGTTTTTCGATTCTTTTTCCATTTATCTAGTAGGCATTGGAAACTGTTCTGTGCAAGGGTTCTGTTAATTGATTGCAGCCACACAGTAAAAAGCACCAGATGATAAATAGTATCCTGTAAGATGATAGGGATATGGTATATGAATAAATATGAAATTCTAGTATGATGTTGCAAGACGATGTGGATTCGGTCTCTCAATATATACGATAAGATGATCTTGCAAAATTATAATGATATGTCGATCTATAAATATCATAAGATTAATTTATACTCCTGCAATGTAATAAAGATATGGTTTCTCACTAAACATGGTAATATTTAATGATAAAGTGAATCTGAAAATGTTCGACAGGTTTTCGTAATGAGCACGATAAAATGTTTCAACGGAACTGATGAAGCATATGTCTCTAAAATAGCACAATAGGACAATTTGATGAAGTTGCATATTCGCCCTATTACTTATATCACTGTTATTTTGTAGTTTTGTTATTTTATTTTGTTATTTTGTATATCACTGTTATTTGATCCTACTAAAATGTATGAATATGGTTTTCTTATAAACATGGTAAAATAATAGGGTGAGAGGGTCTTGAAAAACGACAATAATGTGCCCAATAAAGATGACAGGACAACATGATAATTTTAAAATCCAACAAGATAACAGGAATATCAATAAATATAGTAAGATAACATGATATGGTTTAATGTATCCCTCCCCCCAATTGATTTAAGAGAATATGGGTGAAGAGCTGAGTAACTCCTGGCTGTGACAGGAGTTTATCCAACCTTAAACACAACCAACCATTAACATCCACCCTTAAAGATAACATGATAAAAAAGATAAGATAATATGATTACATGATTTTTGAAAAATAACAAATATATGGTCTTTCAATAAACTTGGTAGGAAAACATTATGCAGCAATCTGGCAAAACCATCTTATCTTAAAAATTTTACGATGGTTTGGTATAAGGTTAAATAAACAACATTTGGTAGACTCCATCATTCTATTTAATGTACTATGTACGGATGTGTAATGTGTATACGTACATTACCATACGTGTAATGTACAGATGAAATTTTGTGAAAACCAAGAAGAAAAAAAAAGATATGTGCATACCTCCTCCTCAAATTCGTCACTATCTTCACCTTCATAGTGGTTGACATTTTCATCAAAGTCCACTCTCAGTACATCCTGGACATCGAAAACACCACTTCCATCAGACACCTCGATAATATCTTCGTTTTCTTGATCGCCAATGAATTGGAATAATTCGTAGTACCATAGTGAAGGAACGTATATTGGTTCTCCAGTTAACCTGTTTCTTTCACGAGATGCTTCGACTTTTCTTAACTCCTTTCTGTAAAATAATTCATGCCAGATAATTTAATTACATCTCATACAGCATGATGTGAATAATATCAAACTTTGTACACTTCATAATGTTTGTACATTGTTTTGATTTAAGTATATGAAAGAGATTAAAATAAAATTATTAAATTAAACTATTAATTAAGTTAAGCTATTAAACTATTAATTAAATTAAACTATTGGTGATTCAGTTTTGCCGAATATTTTAAAGATATGAATGCTGTTTGCTAGCTTGCAGTTCTTATAAAAAGTTGCTAATTACGGGTTTCTGCAATACTTAATTATTTTTCATTCGTTACAGATTATCTAAATGATCAACGTGATCGTGTTAGCATCACCAAATCGGTATTTCTCAAGATGACTGAAATCACGTGTTTATTTTGTTTATGGTTATGCTTTTAAAACGTATTACTATAAAACTAAATAATTTAATTAAGATAAAAATAATAAATTTTGTATATTGAAAAGCATAATTAATGCATAATATTTACTTATCTGTTACGGAGAATTGTGGAAAGTTTGCATACTATTTTTGACATCATTGATGCTTAATTTTGAATAGAGGAGCACTACTAGTATTTTGGTAATCAGTGCAGTGTTAAAAAGGTACCAAAGATGCTCGCATATGGGTACAAAAAAAAGCATTTCGAAATCTAGCAATCTTCGAGATATTTCAGGGTAGCTAGCCTAATTAACAATAATGATATATTACATGTTTTTCCAAGACTGGTGTCCCAAATTTGGACCATGTGTTCTTTGTGTAATAATAATAAACTAAAAAAATATTTCACTTCGAAGTTTGTAATTAATGGGGCAATTAGTCTAATTAATAGTGCTAATTATTAAGCTTGAAGACTCAATTTTGGATCACTTGTTCTTTACGAAAATGATAGAAAAAAAAAGTGAAACTTCGTAATGTGGAAATGAAAATAGGAAGGGGTAGAAATTGATTTCTTGGC